AAAATTACTTTGTGCCAATTCACAACTGTAATTTTGCTACTGTTAGTTATCAATTGCAATGTACATATCTGATATGCTGATATGCTGGATATGCGATCACTGTGAATGTTCATTCGAAAGGCTCAAGACGCATGGGTTGAATATCGTTGAATTAAGGGAGTAGTTTCTATTTTAAGTAACATTGTTATTCTTTCCCCTCCACTAAAGAAGTGAACAAACCCAGGATTTGATGAGATGTAAACTTGGGTGCATCTTTGTGTTAGCAAGCATAGACTTTGCTGTGCTTGCATGTTTATTGTATATACAGAAATCTACCATTTAATTTGGCTCTAAAGAATAGACATGTTTTTATCTATGTGTACACTTATATACATTGTGTTTCTTGATAAAAGAGGGTATGATAAGCAGGTATCAATTTTCTTTATCATTTTAACATGGGAAAGCCGTGGAAGAGTGAGAAGCGCTGAAACTTTGGAACTAGGCACATCTGTTATAGCCGAGTTTCATAATTATGAGTTATGTAACTTTGGACTAATTATTTAATCTCTGAAGTAACTTCATTGATGTAAAATGGATTTCACGGCACTTGTTGGAATGACTATAGAAGCATCACATTCTTGAACACAGGAGGGCTGAAATGAATGGATGTATTTATAATAAATGGATATGGTGCTTGGATTCCCTGTGAAAGGTTTAGAACATGACCACTCAAAGCCAGATAAAGATATAAATATATTTAAAGTTATCTAATACAACACAATGCCTAAGATTTGTATTATTAAAAATTATTTAAGTGTGGCATTCAGAGTAAGGTACTTATGGATCAAGAACATTTTAGAATTCTAGAAGAATCTTATGCTAAGTTTTGGTAAGTTTTCCATGCTACCGTTTATCTCTCATCAAAACAGAGGTTTGTGATTCAGTATGCTCATTTTGGTGTATTTAATTATTGAAAAGTGCATAAATATATGGAAATACAATAGTTGGAATACAGAGGGCTACTTTCTCCTTAGTAACTGAATAACAATATCTAATGTGTAACCAGTATATACAACCCTAATCTTTCCACTGTAAAGTTTGCTAATTTATCCTCTTTGCCTGATGAGTTAGTATTGAGTATGACACTGTATCTCCATCCCCCTAGCTACAATCTCAAGCCTTTTCTCTGAAATATTTTAACAGTGTTTAAATTGTTTGCCCTTGAAGGGTCATTCATTCTCCATGCTGCTGTCAAAACTAGTAACAGCGTTCTATAAACTAAACACCCAGTGTCTCCCTGTGACCTAAAGGATGGCTACCAAATTACAAAGTATATAACGCTTGTCAAAATATGACACCAATTTGTTCTTGTTCATCTGAGTCAAATTATCTACATTTTCTATCCCTTTCAGTCATAGAAAAATAATATAAAAAGTCACAGTGTCTCAAGATTCTTTTATATTTGGCATATGCTGTTCCCTCTTTATGAAGAATGTTCAATAATTCCTCATATACAAAAGCTGGTAAAGCCTCTCAGAACCAAGAGTTGTCTGAACTGCAAAGCTTTCACTATACTTTTTCCATTTCTACAATAAAAAAAAACTTTATCTACAAATGATTTATTCCATCTAAACTTTGATTTGAACAGAGGGACTTAGTCATCTTTGTAATTCCAAAATTTAGAATAATGCATCGCACAAAGGTCCAATGATTGTTTGTGGAATGAGTGAATGAATGATTTAGAAGTAATCTGAAAAGAACTTTATATGAATCAATGAACATGTAATTTAAAATAAATTGATAGACTAATCGAAGATTATTATACATGTTACTATGTTGAATTATATTGTTATTTTAACCTGTGTTACATTATAAAAATAATATTATAAACAAACTGTGTTATATAAGTTTAGGTGAGCTGAGAGAGAGTGTGTGTGTGTGTTGTAGATCAAGGAAATGAGCACATGACTAAACTTGACAAAGTATTAATATTTCCAGGCCAGCATGTTGAGTAGTATATTGCAAATTCTTATGAAATATTATTTCAGGATCCAAGGAATATTGGATGGGGTAAAGGATCTAAGTAGGGACAAGTACAGAATGGCAAGTGAACATGGCTGGGCATGTGTGCCTTGGATATACGCTGTATCGTTTTGTGTTTTATTCAAGGCACAGAAATCAGTAACCTCAGAGTTTTGGGGGAAAAAATTTTGTGGAGATACAGTGCAGTTGATAGAATGCTTGCTTAGTGTGTACAAGGTCCCAGCACCATACAAACCCAACACGTTGCTGTCTTACGACAGTAATCCGCTAATAGAGAGACTAACATCTGTAGTTCAAGGTTATCCTCAGCTACCTAACAAGTATGAGTACAAAGTGGAATAATGAAACTCTATCTCAAACATAAATAAACACATACAAATGATGAGTGATTCACTTATGAACGACTTTGTGGTTAAGAAGGATCAAATAGATTTTAAAACATGGACTGTAATATAAGGATTAATATTCCTCATTATTAAAAGTTGGCTTAATAAAGAAACCATGATTTTACCCCTCTCACACTTCTTTTTTGGATTAACATACCTGACCTGATGAACTTGGCTTCCTATTTTAACCACGTAAATGAATAAGATTAATAAAGATGGTCATGGTAAAAGAAAGGACAGTTAGAGAAAAATGTCACTTAAACTCAAAAAGAAGTATCATATTATAGATGTAGTCAATATTTTCTAATAGATCTACTAATATTTTACCTATAAATATTTAATATACCAATATCTACAGTTCAGATTAAGAACAGGCAAACATTTTATACTGCAATATATTTTTAATATATACCAACAAAAATATTTTTGTGCATTTTACTATGCAGTAAATCTTAACACAAATTAATAAACTTACAGGAGTCTAGTACATTTTATGGATTAAAAATGTAGGCTCAGCATTTACAGGGAGAGATAAAACTTTGAATTATGCCAATTTATGACTACAAGAAACTTGTTTTTAGATCCTTTGGTTGGAGAGAACATTTGAAAGCTAAGCATATTTGTGATTTGTTTTGTTATGATCAAATTTTAAAAATATATTTAAATGATTGTCTACTCTAATTGCATCCCGGTGGGGTTTCTTAAAGTTCATAGTTGGACTATCAACAATTAATTAAGTGTATATACAGATGCTCATCTAATCACTGTGTTCTGTTATAGGAGCAACTCTGACAACTTCTTCTCAGCAGTCCTTGTTAGAAAGCTGAAACTGTTTAAACATCTGCATGTTTAAACAGAGGTCATTAGGGCAAATTAGTGATGCTTTGGGGTATTTTTTGTATATTCTCATGGCTCCACTATTCTGAGGCCCTTATATTTCACCTGACAAGTATCAAACTTCTTCATTTTTTCCTTTCTGTTTTTATTTTTACTTTCCTCTTGAACTCTGTCCTAAGCTTAAAGGACAGAGGAAATAAAAACATACTAAATTATACTGCACCAAGGGATCGTGTCCTGCACACCACTTGTATTTGAGATGTTTAAAAATCTAAATAGGAAATAAATGAAATGATGTTAATTCATGAAAAAAATCAGGAAAATTTCAATTTATTTCTTTACTCAATGAAAAACATATTTAGATGCATTTCGAACATTTAGAGAGTTTACATCAATATTTATAGTTTGGTATATCTGTATAATGTTTGCCCTCATTTCTCTCATTTACTGAGGTTTTACCTATTAAACACCCACCTCTTTTTAATTCTTTCATTTTCATCTATTTTTACTTAATATTCAATTTTCTGCTCCTAGCTTCCGCATAAAACATTTAACAGACTCCTTTACCTATTTGGTATAATTTTGAAACTGATGCATTAGAGAAAGTAAAAACAATGATGTATTGAATTTTATATTTTGAATTACATATATGTGTGCTATTGAATGTTATTCTTTTTTAATTTTATTTTTATATTAATTACAGGTTATTTACATTGTATCCCAGCTGTAGCTCCTTCCCTCATTCCCTCACAATCCCATCCTCCCTCCCTCATCTCCTCCCTGCCCCTCTCTAAGTCCCTTAATAGGGAAGGTCCTCCTCCCCTTGTGTCTGACCCTAGCTTATCAGGTCCCACCAGGACTGGCTGCAATGTCTCCCTCAGTGGACTAGCAAGGCTCCTCCTCCCTGGGGGGTGGGGGTTTGTTAAAGAACCAGCCACTGAGTTCATGTCAGAGACAGTCCCTGTTCCCCTTACTAGGTTAACCCACTTGGATGCTGAGTTGCGATGGGCTACATCTGAGCAGGGGTTCTAGGTTATATCCATGCATGGTCCTTGATTGTAGAATCAGTCTCATAGAAGACCTTTGTGCCCAGGTATATTTGGTCCTTGTGGTGCTCCAATCCTCTCCAGTTCTTAGTAACACCCTCTTCTTTCATATGATTCCCTGCACTCTGCCCAAGTTTTGGTTATGAGTCTTAGTATCTGTTTTGATACACTGCTAGGTAGAGTCTTTCAGAGGCCCTCTATGGTACGTTCCTGTCCTATTTCTTGATTTTTCCTACTTTCAATGTCCATCACATTTGTCTTTCTCAGTGGGATTGATCAACTTACCCCGGAACCTCCTTCTTGTTTAGCTTTTCTTATGTGAAAGCTATTTATTGTTGCTGTAATATATAACTGTACACTTAATTATATGCTAACTTTATCTTGAAATATTACTTTACTATTTAAAACTCCACTTACTTTCAACTTTTAAGGAAAACTAAAATTTGACATGACTACCATAAAAACTCACATTTCCAGTCAAGTATCTTTCTATTCCAACTCAGCTAGGAGACATGTATATATTAATTTTTGAAAACCGTAATCCATTTGTTTATTTAGAAAAGTACAATTAAAGCAAAATGATACCTTCAAAATTTATACATACATATATATAGTAAACTTCAATTAATAAATGCATTTGATGAAAAAATATTTAAGTTAGTATTTTCTGCACTTGCAAATACTGACTTGTTTATATTATTGGACCAACCTTTGTGTCTATGAGACCCATCCATGTTGCTAAATTCAATATGATTTTCATCAGCCCAGTAGAGTCTATGGTTGACATAATCTATTGTCAGTGCCATCGGTCTAGAAATCTTGGTTTCTATGACAACACTCTGATTGGTTCCATCCATTCCAACACGGCCAATGTGAGGATACTCACAGCAGTCAATCCAGTACAAATTCCTAGGAAAGAAAATCAATAGCCACTTCATTGACAGAGCTGCTAGAGTAAAACATTACACAATATTTTCCTTCTCATTTCACTGTCCCCAAATTAATTCTTAATATATCTCTGAACTGTGGTTCTCATGGCAGACTTCAGTGCAAACTTTTTTCTTGCTGTTTTTTGTTTTACAAATTAAAAAAATATTATTGTTTGTGATTTATTTAACATTAAACATATGTTCTTTTTAGTATACAAAATCATAGATAATGATATTTTTATACTTGCACACTTTCATATGCATAAAATTAATGTATATAACTTGTGAAAGGTGTCGATACTGTTAGAAGAAAAAGAAACAATTCGTTTTTCACCCATTTATCTACCATCTGTCTACTGTTAATTTTGACTTCTTATACATTTAAACTATAGAAATCATTTCATTGATTTGAATAAATATCATTGATAATCACAAATAAGCTACATGTTACTGAGAAATTATGTTGCATTTAAGCTAATTTTACTTAAGTCAGAAAATCCCATCATCAAAGAGTTGTCCATAGATCCTATAAGTATTTTTCTTTATCAAATATGAAGTTTATTAATCTATTCTCTTTTTCTAGCTCTTCTCTTTCTTCTGAGTGGACCCTTTATCATGCAATTCATCAGATTTGAAAGTTGTATAACTAAGATTGTATTTTTCACCAAGGTACAGATCATCTAGACAGAAGCCAAATGGAAATAAAGGCACTTACAGAGGACCTAATTCAAATGGATCTAATTGATGTCTACAGAACTTTTCACCCAAACTCAAAAGAGTAACCTTCTTTTCAGCACCTCATGGAAGCTTCTCCAATACAGACCATATAGTTGGTTACAAAGCAAGTCTCCACAGATACAAGAAGATTGAAATAATCCCCTGGATTCTATCTGACCACTATGGACTAAAGCTGGACCTCAACAACAATGGAAAAAGCGAAAAGCCTACATGCACATGGAAACTGAAAAACTTGCTACTCAACGACAACTAGGTTAAGGAAGAAATAAAGAAAGAAATTAAAGACTTCCTAGAATCCAATGAAAATAAAGGTACAACATACCCGAATTTATGGGAGACAATGAAAGCAGTGCTCAGAGGAAAATTCATAGCACTAACTGTCTTCAGAAGATATTTGTAGTATCTCATACAAGCAATTTAATGGCACAACTGAAAGCCTTAGGAAAAAAAGAAGCAAATACAACCAAGAGGAGCAGACAGCTGGAAATAATCAAACTCAGAGCTGAAATCAATCAATTAGAAACAAATAAAACTATTCAAAGAATCAATGAAACCAAAAGCTGGTTCTTTGAGAAAATCAACAAGATAGACAAACCATTAGCCAAACTAACTAAAAGGCAGAAAAAAACTATCTAAATCAGCAAAATCAGAAATGAAAAGGGGGACATAACTACAGACACTGAGGAAATTCAAACAATCATTAGGTCGTAATAAAAAAGCCGATATGCCACAAAATTTGATAATCTAAAAGAAATGGACAATTTTCTTGATTGATTTCATCCACCAAAATTAAGTCAAGATCAGGTGAAACGATTGAATAGCCCTATATCCCCCAAAGAAATTGAAGCAGTCACAGCAGTCTCCCTTCCAAAAAAAGCCCTGGACCAGATGGTTTCAGCGCAGAATTCTACAAGACCTTCAAAGAAGGGCTGACTCCAGTTCTATTCAAACTGTTCCACAAAACAGAAACAGAAGGAACATTACCAAACTCATTCTATGAAGCCACAGTCACCTTGATACCTAAACCACACAAAGACCCCCCCCAAAAAAAAAAAAACAGAACTTCAGACCTATCTCTCTTATGAACATTGAGCAAAAATACTCAATAAAATATTTGCAAACTGAATCCAAAAACACATCAAAAATATCATCCACCATGATTAAGTAGGCTTCATTCTAGGCATGCAATGGTGGTTCAACATATTGAAATCCATCAATGTAATCCCTCATATAAACAAACTGAAGGAGAAAAAACACATGATCATCTCCTTAGTTGCCGAAAAAACATTTGACAAGATCCAGCACCCATTCATGTTTAAAGTCTTGGCGAGATCATGGATACAAGGCACATACCTAAACATAGTAAAGGCAATATACAGCAAGCCTATAGCCAACATCAAACTTAATGAAGAGAAACTTGAACCAATCCCACTGAAATCAGGGACAAGACAAGGCTGCCTACTCTCTCCATACCTCTTCAACATAGTACCTGAAGTCCTAGCTAAAGCAATATGACAACTAAAGGAGATCAAGGGAATACCAATTGGAAAGGAAGAGGTCAAAGTTTCACTATTCACAGATGATATGATAGTATACATGAGCAACCCCAAAAATTCTACCAGAGAACTCCTTCAGCTGATAAACACCTTCAGCAAAGTGGCTGGATACAAAATTAACTAAAAAAAAAAAAAAAAAAAAAAAAAAAATAGAAGCCCTCCTGTATACAAAAGACAAAAGGGCAGAGAAAGAAATTAGGAAAAAAGACAGCATCTTCAACAAATGGTGCTGCTCCAACTAGATGTCTACATGCAGAAAAATGAAAACAGATCCATATTTATCACCCTGCACAAAACTAAAGTCCAAGTGGATCAAAGACCTCAACATAAAACCAGACAAATTAAATCAGCTAGAAGATAAAGTGGGAAAGAGCCTAGAACTCATTGGCACAGGAAACAACTTCCTGAACAGAACACCAACAGCATAGGCTCTAAGAGCAACAATCAATAAATGGGACCTCATGAAACTGAAAAGCTTCTGTAAAGCAAAAGACACTATCATCAGAATAAAATGACAGCCTATAGAGTGGGAAAGGATCTTTACCAACCCTATATCTGACAGAGGACTGATATCCAGAATATATAAAGAACTAAAGAAATTAAAAAAGCAATAAATCAAAGAATCCAATCAAAAAATGGGGTACAGAGCTAAACAGAGAATTCTCTTTAGAGGAATATAGAATGGCAGAGAAACACCTAAAGAGATGATCAACAGCTTTAGCCATCAGAGAGATGCAAATCAAAACGACCCTGAGATTTCACCTTACATGATCAGAATGGCTAAGATCAAAAACTCAAGTGTCAACACATGCTGGAGAGGTTGTGGAAAAAGGGGAACCCTCCTCAACTGCTGGTGGGAATGTAAACTAGTACAACCTCTTTGGAAATCTGGTGCTTTTTCAGACAACTAGGAATAGTCCTTCCTCAAGATCCAGCTATACCAGTCCTAGACAAAAGATGCTCAAGTACACAAGGACAATTGCTCAACAATGTTTGTAGCAGCTTTATTCATAATAGCAAGAACCTGGAAACAACCCATATGTCCCTCAATAGAAGAATGGATACTGAAATTGTGGTACTTTTACACATTAGAATACTACTCAGCAATTAAAAACAAGGATATCATGAAATTTGTAAGCAAATGGTGGAATCTAGAAAAGATCATCCTGAGTGAGGTATCCCAGAAGCAGAAAGACATACCCAGTATATACTCACTTATAAGTGAGTATTAGACCTATAAGATAGGATCATCATACTAAAATCTGTACACCTAAAGAAGATAAACAAGAAAGAGGACCCTGGGTAAAATGATCAATCCTCACTTAGAAAGACAAAGGGGATGAACATTGGAAGTAGGAGAAAACAATTAACAGGACAGGACCCTAAAACAGAGGGTATCTTGAAGATTCTACCTAGCAGTCTATCAAAGCAGATGCTGAGACTCATAACCAAACCTTCTGCAGAGTGTAAGGAATCATATGAAAGAAGGGAGAGTTAGTATGACCTGGAGAGGACAGGAGCTCCACAAGGACCAAATATATCTGGGCACAGGGGTCTTTTCTGAGACTGTATCTCCAGTCAAGGATCATGTATGGATATAACCTAGAACCCCTGCTCGAATGTAGCCCATGGCAGCTCAGTATCTAAGTGGGTTACTGTAGTAAGTGAACAGAGACTGTTTCTCACATGAACTCAATGGTTGGCTCTTTGACTTCCCCCCACCCCACGAAGGAGGAGCAGCCTTTCTAAGCCACAGAGGAGGACACTGCAACCAGTCTTGAAGAAACTTAATAACCTAGGGTCAGATAGATGGGCAGGAGGACCTCCCCTATCAATGGACTTGGAAAGGGGCAGGGAAGAGATGAGGGAGGGAGGGTGGGATTGGGAGGGAATGAGGGAGCAGGCTCCAGCTGGGATACAAAGTTGACATTCAACCAAGGACCATGTATGGATATAACCTAGAACCTCTGCTCACATGTAGCCTGTTGTAGCTCAGTAACCAATTGGTTTCCCATAGTGAGGGGAACAAGGACTATTTCTAACAGGAATTTAATGACTGGCTCTTTGACCTCCCCACCCCCCAAGGGAGGAGCAGTCCTGTTAGGCTACAGAGGAGGGCTTTGCAGCCAGTCCTGAAGATAACTGATAAAACAGGATCGGATGAATGGGGAGAAGGTCCCCCCCATCAGTGGACTTGGAAAGGGGCATGGTGGAGATGAAGGAGGGAGGGTGGGATTGGGAGGGAATGAGGGAGCGGGACACGGCTGGGATACAGAGTTAATAAAATGTAACTGATAACAAAAAAATAAAATTAAAAAAAATGTACTTAAGATAACCTAGAACCCCTGCACAGATGTAGCCCATGGCAGTTCAGTTTCCAAGTGGGTTACATAGTAATGGGAAGAGGGACTGCCTCTGACATAATCTGATTGGCCTGCTCTTTGATCATCTCCCCCTGAGAGGGGAGCAGCCTTACCAGGCCACAGAAGATGACAATGCAGCCACTTCTGATGAGAACTGATAGACTAAGATCAGAAAGAAAAAGAGGAAGTCCTCCCCTATCAGTGGACTTGGGGAGGGGCATGCATGCAGAAAGGGGAGGAAGGGTGGGATCGAGAGGGGAGGAGGGAGGGACTTATGGGGGGTACAAAATGAATAAAGTGTAATTAATAATAATAATAAATAT